CCACAAACTCCTTCAGGTGAACAAGCCCAACGGTTAGATGACACCAGCATTTACAAAATGCGTACACCACTCTTCCTCTGCCTACAGCCCCACAGCTATTGGGAGCCATTGGGAGCATCCTTCAGGTCTAATGAGCATGCAGACAGGTTCCTGAGTCCTGACCTGCCCAACAGGTGGGCTTTTTAGGTATAATCCCTTTGGGGATTCAAAAAGTACCCCTTCTCTTTCCTATCACACTTGGGTGTTTCTGGAGATCACACAAAAGGACTTTTTAAGACTTTGCAAACATTTCCTTCAGCTCCTTCTATCCTTCACTTTCCCTCTATAACTCATCACACAGAGTGTCTCTAAGCTTCTTGGTTTTGTTTCAGACTCCAAGATCTGTTTCTCCCATGCCCTGGAAAGGTCTCATTGTTACTGTCCATGCCATCCTCTGCTAAAGCATCACTCCAAACAAAGGTATTCCCAAGAGCGGTAAGGCAACTCGCTATCCCCGTTCCCTGTGTTCCAATCATTCGCTCCTGGCTGTCACCCACAGAGGTTCAGATTCACTCAAAAACATCTTTAACATACTTTAAGTCTCTTAACTGAGGCACCTCTATTAAATGTGGTGTCACCCAGACTCCAGATACAGAATGTCAAGTGCAAGACAGTGACAGACAGTGAATTATCTCTCTCCCCAGAGGTACCTTGTCCTCTATGAACCACAGAACCAGCCTACAGTGGCCATACTTCTAACTTCTGCATGTCCTTTAAGTGGGATGTGGAAATTCCTATTTTGTTCATGCTGGAACACCTGGTGTCAGCCTTTCTTACACTTTCTTACAGGACGTGTTGCCACTGACAGTCACATCCATAGGAAAAGTTGCCCTGCATTGATACCACTCCTTAGGGCGAAGCAAAGTTTATCTTAATAAGTTATATAAGTTTATCTTAATAATTTATCTTAATTCCGGGGGGTTAATAGGTAGAAGTGATCTCTTGTTGCTGCTGAATAACAAGGAAATCCATATTAGAAAATCCTATTTAAATAACCTGAAAATAAGAAATATTACGTCTCTTTTATGCTAATGGTCATGTGTGTATTTCTATTATTATAAATTATTACTGTTGTTATTTATTTTGAGGAATTCTGTTACATGACTTGTAGGGGCTTATGACACAAAATAGGCAAGGGGCAATGACTTGATATTTCACATGGAGGACAAGGACATGAGCTGGCTAAASACCCAGCTCACTACATATGGAGGGGAAAATCATTTCTATTCAAGAACAGTCTCTGACCAAAATGTCTTTTCTCCCTCACCTCCTTTCTCTTTCATGATTAAATAAATCATAAAGCTGTCACTAGAGGCTGCGTACAAGGGGGCTGCAAATGAGAGCTTTCTGCATTTGTCTATTTTTAATTTCAAAAGGTATTTTGAATTAAAAGAGAAAGAGAGGGGAAAAAAAAGAGCATAATGCCATTCTCATGTCTGATTTCCCATGCGTACAAATAAGCTCTATGTCCTCCTATAATGATATAATAAATTTTCAAAAACAAGCACTAATAAATGAGAATTAAACTATGCTCTGTAAATTTAATTGAGATTCACAGTGTCCGATTCTTTTCAAATTCAAATTACTACCAGACAGTGCATCTTTTTGCATAACTTATGCAGATAAGCAAAAGTGACAGCTTCTTTTTCCCATCTTTTCTCTCTTTTTTTTTCTTTCTTTTTCTCTTTCTCCCTTTCTTTCTTTCTTTCTTTGAAATGGAGCACTATACTTCAGTCACAGTGCTGGCATTTTGGGATGTAAAAGCTGAATGATAGTTCAGCATTTTCCACAGAGACACCACATCGCAGTGCACAGCGCTTAGAGAGCAGGGCAGAGAAATGAGCAGGGAAAAACAAGCGTTTTTCTTTTGAATGATAGACAAAAATTCATTTTTTTTCTGTCATTAGAGCAAACGCTCAAAGGTAACTACTGCTGCTTTGTGTCAGAGGGCTTTGGTCATCACTAAATAGGATGCGGAGCTCCATTAAATTAAACTAAGGGATTTAGGGGTGCCGGAGCCCCCATGCTCGTGCTGCTCCAGCGCGGAGCACAGGGGCAGCGGGGGGAGCCCCGCAAGGGCAGCCTGACCTCTCGGGAGAAGCATTTCTCACAATTCAGATGCCCCTTTTGGCATTTTCTGTTCTCAAATGTCAGGGGGCTCCCCCCGCGCTGGCTCCGTGCGGTGCCGCCGTCGGCAGGGCCGGCTCAGGCTCAGCCGGCAGCGCTGCTGGAAAACTAGGACACAGCGGCTGCCCAGGAGGAAACGGCTCCACTTTGCTCCGGCGGAGAGAGCAGCTCCCACGCAGGACGGATCCTTCCTCGGGCGGTGCACGGAGCGGTGCTGGGAGCAATCCCGASTGGAGACTCCCGACCTCTGCCAGGCACCCCTAAAGCAACTGCAAAGCCTGAGGCTTTCGCTTTCCAACAGCCATGGCTTTTCACCTCACTGCCCTGGGAGGCTCCGTCAGCACAGGGGTGAGGAAACTTCTCATTTACAAGCTTTTCTGGCCCGTTTAAACTGTTTTCTCTCTGCCAGTGTTCTCTTCAGCTTCTGCAGAGAGGATTTTCCCCTGATGGCAATCATTACTGTCCACATTTGCCTTCCCCACTTGGTGGACTGAACAGGCTCGGTTGGACGGATGACCACGAACCTGCTGGTCATCTGAACAGCAACTGAAATAGCAGCCCATGCATTTGAGGAAATAAATCTCTCTYTTCTTTTTATCACCCCGGAGATGCAATGTTTAACCATGCAGGATCAAGCTGAAGGGTGGCATTTTGAAGGTGCGAGGGAGAAATGCTTTAGGCGGATTGTTTTGTGAACTAGCGTGATGTTTTTTGGATGGCATAAAAGGAAAATTTCCTTTAAAATCACATAGTAACATCACCAGAGACACTACTTGTACTGTTAGTTAATGGTAAAATAAAACATTTCCTACCCATGAAAGTACAAATCATGTATTGAACCAGATTCCAAAGATGATGTAGTATGATAAGAAATGCCAAAAGTGATATGCAGAATGCTAACCCCTGTGAGAAAATAAGAAGAATGCTTCACCAACGTTGTCATAAAATGAACCACAGTCAACACTAAGTTTACCGAAAAAGTTCTTTTTCCAAAGCACTTTTCCTTTTTTTTTTTTTCATAATTTTTTTTTAAACTGGAGTAAGGCAGTAAAAACAGGGGTATAAGGAACATCAGTCATATATATATATATTTTAATAAGTAAGTATGGCACTTGAGACTGAGTTGGGTAAAAAAACAACATGCATAAAAAACACATACTGGAAAACGATGCCGCATTCTAGAGGCCGCTTAGTGACCTGGACTCTGTAGCACATTCCTGCTCAGATCCGTGACACTCCAGCTGCGGCATCAACCTGCTTCCTTTCCTCGCCGGGGCACTCTGGTTCTTCTGCCCCTCCAGCACATTTCCACCCTCTGCATCCTCTGCTCCCCTATCCCTTCCCCTCTCTCCAGCCCTGTCCTCACTTGTGGCTCCCACTTTTAACTCCTCCTGTCCCTGGAACCACGTCCTCCTCAGCTCATTCCTGCTCCCAAAATGTCAACATCACTCCTGATTCTGGGCAATTGAAACCCATCACCCACAAAGGCACAAGACAACGGGAAGCAGTATCTTTCCCACTTGACTATTTTAACTCCCTATACTCGATTATGCAGAAAGCTGGGCTCCAGACTGTTTCTCTGACCTGCCTGAAAATCATCGCAATAGTTYTACAGAAACTTGGTCATATTGAGTATTAGTTTTGCTATTTTACCTGTTACTGATAAATTAGGACCCAAAGCTGCTTAACACAGCTAGAAAAACTCCCAGGCTGTGGCACATAAAACCTTTTATGTAGTGGAAGTGTTATGAAAAAACTGCAGTGGCAAATTTCACTTCCAATTTACCCATTTTTCATATCTTTTTTTGTAATATACTTAAAGGTAATATTTAAATAAACTTTTCTCTCTCTTTTCTTTTTATTCCATTATTGTACTCAGTCAAACCTGACTGCTGAAAATTGTGGGTCAAATTTTGCTTCACTAAGACTGAAGTCAATGAGAATCTTTAATCCAAACTCAAGTGCCACTGAATACACATGCCCTTTTTATCATATCTGCAGGAAATCCTTCTTCACCTTTTTGCCCTCTGTGTCATGTTAGTTTATTGTAAATAATAGCTGAACTGCCAACTCCAACTTTTAAGGAAAAAGCACTAAATATTTGATCCCCATTTGTGCTTTTTCACATGCACACGCACATTCTCCTCCTCCTTCGCACATCCAGGTAATTGCTTTGTTAAAGCACACAGCAGAAATTTGGTATCTATAAATCTGAACAGTGAGTCTGGAATTTAGTGAGTGCTGCTGCGGGCTACCTGACTGTCACTCACTAGAGCAGGAGCAGGGGGAAGTGTCCCAAGAAGCCTTGGAGGGAACCCTTTGCAGCAGACCTGCACGCAGGAAAACTCACCCTGCTTCCTGAGCAGCACAAACAGGGCAAAAACTGACCTGGCCGCTGCATTGCCCAGTGTGCCCATGGAAAAGCTGCCCTCCCCGTGCAGCTGCACAAGGCAAAGCTGCCTCGCTGCTGGGGCAGACCCAGGCACCCGGGCTCGCAACCAGCCAGGGCCTCATGCACRGCCTTGGCCTGCTACCAACACATGCAGGTGTCTCAGGTGCAGAGCAGTCGCCAGCCTCCCTGGCAGCTCAGTTGGGTAGCGGTCCATGCGAGTTAAGTGCACTGGCAGCTAAGCTAAGCTCAGCACAAGCAACGGCCCAGCTGTCACGCTGAGGTTGAGCATCTCCTGATTATTTGCAAAGCCAGAAAGCTCAATGTGACGCCAATTTAAGCCAATATTCTTATTATTCTTGAACATGCAGAGGAAAGCTGACCCGCATCCTCCCTAGAGGCTGCTGTTCCCACCCTGCGGCACATCCCACCCCCTGGCACTGACCTGGGACGCTGCCTCCGTGCTGTGACCTTCCTTACCACTCCCCGCTGCGCTCTCCTTCRCGGCTGCCGCCACCACCGGGGCTTCTGCCTTCGGGGCACTCGTTTCTGGGGGAGCAGCAGGCCCTACTTTCCCCAGCCCGCTCACGGGCGCCGAGCTCGGACTGCTTGATTGCCGCGACTGAGCCTTATACCAGGTAGGGTAAAACAAGGGATCGGCGGTGTCTGCTGCTGATGACACGGGACTGTCAGACTCTGCAGCCTGCTGAGGGCCACCTGGTGCCATAACCTCGTCCTTAATCGGGACCGACAAAGAGAAGAAGAAGCAGAGGGCACCACGTTACCTTCCTGCGGAAGCCACGTTTTTCTGCATGCCACATCTGTTAGATCTCACTGCAAGAAATGTATTTGCTCTAATGGAGGGTCTGAAAGAAGTATAATCAAAGCGCAGAGGAAAGGCATCTATCATTTCAATAACACAAGCATAAAAAGAGAAAATAAGTTGCTGACAAAGAGAAGGATAGAATTAGCTGGGAAGGGAACACAGTGAGGAAGGAGTGAGAAAGTCGTCCCTTAATTCATTTATACACTTTGGGCCTCCTTTTAATCCCAGGGGAGCTGGCTGAGCCCTGCTGTGGTAAAATCTGGCTCAGGAGGGAAATGAAGCTGTGTGTCCTAATGGTTTTGCCTAGTAACTGTCCAGTAAGGGGACAAGGCTGCCCAGCAAATTAGAGATTGTTACTTACTTGATTTCAGCTCATACACAGGTAAACACCCAGTTCAGTCCTAAGAATATAATAAAACCTGCAAAAGAGACTCAGGAACTGAGGTGTAGGTACCAGGCYGGGAAGACCTTTGAACGGCTTGCTGGGTTTTGGAATAAATGAAGAACAAGGCACCTGCCAATGAGCCTGTCAATGAGCTCCTGACAGTCACAGTAAGGAGCTGCCCACCAGCCTTGCTCTCGGCGTGGCCCCCCAAGCTGCAGGCTGCCAGGAGGAGAAGCAGCCGGCAGCAGGGCACCTCTCTGCTTGCATCGAGCTCCCAGGGCTCCCCCCTGCTGAGTTTCCATTTTCCCTTCCCTGYACCACAAGGCAAAACCTGCACCATGAGCCTCCCATGTGCTGCATTCCCCTTGTGCTGGTCTGGCCAACTCGCAGTGGCATTTTGTGACTGCGGYAGCAGCACGCGGTCCCTTCTCCATGTGAGCCCAGAAGTGCCATTCATAGAATCACAGAATCATAGAATGCTTAAGGTTGGAAGGGACCTCAGAGGTCATTGAGTCCAACCCCCCTGCTCACGCAGGGTCACCTAGAGCACGTGGCACAGGGCTGCGTCCAAGCAGGTTTTAAAGATCTCCAAAGGAGATTCTACAACCTCTCCGGGCAGCCTGTTCCAGGGCTCTGGCACCCTCACTGTCAAGAAGTGTTTCCTTAAGTTCCTGTGGAACTTTTGGTGCCTCAGCTTGTGGCCGTTTCCTCTAGTCCTRTYGCTRGCCACCACTGAAAAGAGGCTGGCCCCCTCCTCCTCACTGCCTCCCTTGAGGTATTTATAGACACTGATCAGGTCCCCCTTCGGCCTTCTCCAGGCTGAACAGGCCCAGCTCCCTCAGCCTTTGCTCATAGGGCAGATGTTCCAGGCCCCTGATCATCCTCATAGCCCTGCGCTGGACTCTCTCTCTTATGCAGGCTTGGTTATGTCTGCATCCTGCTTATGCTAAAAACTACATGAACTCTGCTGCTCAGGTTAGTTAAAACCAGTACAAATCTCCCAAATGACTGGTCAAATCAGTAAAACCTCATTTAAGAGCATCTTCACACAACCCAAGAGGTGCAAAGCCATGTACGATGTTAAACCAAAGCAAGAATGAGTCTAGCCTATTCATTTTCCTATGTGCTATGTAGGGAGCTTGCTATAATCAAAGACTTATTACTTGTTTTCTTTTTTTCATATTGGCTTCTTCAAATATTATAACAGCATCCTTTATCCACTTGGCAGCTTCACCCCGGTGAAGCTGTATAAGAGGGCAACAGGCTCAGTTAGTTRTATCTACGGGCAGCTGGAGTAGTCTAAGGTTCTTTTATGTATCTCAGACTATGTGGCAATTACTGTTTCATGCTCCTGGCATTCCTTAAGGGGAAAAGAAAAAAAAAAAAAAAGTGCTCTTCTAAATTATTAAGAGATCAGAGGCCCCGAATCTGTTTGCTGCTAGGTTCTAACAATGGTAGGTTTAAGGCAGTTTCCTCTTCTGTTTGGTGTGTGGTCTCCTAGATGATATCCCTAAGGACAACCAGACCAGAAGGAGGAAAACGCTGTTTGCAGAAAGCAGATCAGAAGTGTGATCTAAAAACGGGTGGCGGAAGGCTTGCTGAACCCAGCAGGGATGCCAGACTCTCTTAGCATAAATATTTTAACAACCATCTCATTTATAGCAGTTAGTCCGAGTTAAATCACATGATACACAGCAAGCAGAACATCCACTGTAGCGTGTTTAAATCCCCAGTTAAAGCTCTTTTATTTATATCTTATGCATCCCATATATAAGTGTGTGTGTGTGTGTGTGTGTGTGTGTGTGTGTGTGCATTTATATAACAGTGTGCTTTTTGCCTACCAAGCAGTGCACCTGCTGCCTGAGGGCGCGGGCACGGCCGTGCCTAGCTAGGAAGGTGATGCACAGGCCTGTGAGCCCCACAGAGCCTCGAGCCCGGCTCAGCAGAGCTGGCAGGGCAGAGCGGCCCCGGCGCGGGTTACCTGGCCAGCCGGCGCGGCGGGCAGCGGCGGCGGGGACGGCGCGGCCGGACGCTCCCCGGCGGCGCTCGCTGCTTCGGGGTCCTGCTGAGGTGGCGGCGCTGCTCTCTCAGCCYCTTCCTCCTCCTCCTCCTGCTCCTCCTGCTCCTCYTCTCCTGAGGACTCCGTGTGGGCTTCCTCCAGATCTTCACMGTCCACCGTCTCCTCCTCTTCCTCYTCGCCCTCTTCCTCTGACAGGACAGGTATAAAAGGACCACGTGAAGATGGAGACAGCCCTTATGCAGCAGAAAGCCCTATGAGGTTGCCTGGCAAAGCCACTCAGTGTCCGGCCGAGGGCTTTTCCCCAGGGAAAGCACAGGTTTTGCTCGGCTCAGAAGAGCATGAACAGCAGGGTGCTGAGGCAGGCAGAGGATAGACGCTGGGATGAGGAGCCTGCACCCACGTGCTGGCGCTGAGCATGGTGACRGAGGCACCAGCACGAGGGAGGCCCTGGCGCAGCCGCAGCAGCCTCTGCTCAGGGTGAATCCAGTGCTCTGCGCTGGGTTCACCGGTTCCAGAAACCCTCAGCAGGGCAGCACTAACCCCCTCCCGCCTCCCTGGCACACGGGGCCCGGTGCAGGAGCTCAGGCTGGAGCCCCAGCTTGGCCCCAGGGGCCCTCCTGGCAGGGCCAGTGTGACCCAGCACACACCCATCCTCAATCGGAGTTAGCCGCTGTGCTAAACTGCATTTACATGGGCTAAAATATATATATATATATACATGTAAAATCTAAATCTAGCCCTTTCCATAGGAAGGAGGACAGAAAATCGTGTTAATGGAATTATCCCCAGGAGGGGTTTGTGTAGCATGCAGTTGCACTCTACAGCGATGAGAGGATACTGCTCTGGTACAATCTGCCAGGAAAATAAAAAAGTCTTGCAATTTTACTTATCTTTTTATTTTAAACACAATTGAACCATCAAAGTAAATCTTTACCAGGTCAGTGCTGTGCAGTAACTGCCTGTGGAGATTTGGGGTAAACCTCCTTAAAACCAGACGATCAAATCTTTTCAGGCCATAGCTTTAGCATCATATAACACATTGCACTGTTAGCATTCATGGGCATACTCATCTTCACAGAGAGCCCTCTAACAAGGCATTTTGTTTTGCATAATCATGTTATTCATCCTCAAAAATATCAGATGTTGTTCAGAGCCATCCCAGTGCTTCAGAAAAATAAACATAGATGGATGCATTAACCCAAGCTTCAAAATGAGTGTGTATCTTGAACAGGTTGTGAGGTTTTTACTGTTGCTCTGAATACACAGAAGTAACACAGATCTGCAAATTAAATAGTGTCGTTGTAGCAGAGAAATATTCCTGTAGGCAAAGACACTCCTATGAGCAGACTACGGAAACTCAGCTTCCAAGTCCCCTGAACATGGAGGAGCTCCTTGGCAATTGTTTCAAATATAGGGCCAAGTGCCAGATTGTTTGGGGCTCATCCCCAGGAGCTGGGTGTTACCTTTCTGGTCACACGCTGGTGGTGGTACAGCTGGTCCACGGACCCCAAGTACACAGCAAGACCTACCTGCATCAGGAACGGGACCAACCACATGCTCTAAAGCTAATATAAATCATGTAGCTAATATAAATCATGTCTGGGGATTATGTGACGGATGCCAGTGGACTGAGTCCCATGCATCCCTGGGAGACATAATTGGGCTGATGAAGGTAAATAAAAATGTACCAGCAGAACCCAGTGCTAGAAAGGAAATTAGAGCTGGCCAGATGACTACTAGTGCTGCCTTCTAATAGTAAAGATTTGTTTGTCTGAAAATATTATGTCCACTAATTTATTTTGTCTGATTCTCTAAAATAAAGCATAAATGAGCGTAGATTTCAGTCTCATCATTTTCAGGCTACTACAGTAAATACAGAGTAAAAAGGCTGCATTATTACAGAGACAACACCAACCATACAAATGACATTGTTAAAGAATCTTAAATGTACAAAAGACGATGACACTGCTTGGTTCCCTCCATAATTCTTTCATCTTGAATTTCAGTTATGTTTCTGTTACATATCTCTACGAATACAAAAAACAGGTATATCTTTTATGAACACTTCTTTAAACAGTAAACATTCTATTTCTTCATTGGTTTTCCATAGCTGATGTGCCATAAAATAATGGCACATGTTAGGAGGTGAGGAAAAGTACTTTATAGGCTGAGATAAAAGCTGAGTTTTGTGGTCCCTTCGCCACAAGAGAGGAGTGGTCCCTGTCTCCTTATGGAGTCAATAATGAATATATTCTTTAGAAAGTCTTGAGGTTACAAAAAGGGTAAAATTAATGATGTCAATAGATTATTTGATCTCTGAACTGTGCTAGATTTTTGCTGTTGATTATAATTGTTATAAGATGGTCTAGTTACACCTTGGGATGCAGGGGAATATCAATATCAGCATGCAAATTATACAGAACTGCAATTTAAAGGAGTTTAGATGAAATAAATGACATACCTTTGTCAAAGTCTATTTCTCTTATTATTTTTTCTTCTCTACTGAGGTTCACTGTGAATTGGCTCATATTTTCATAGCCATCCTCTATTTTTTCCATTTGAAATCCTTTAGATGCTTCAGTAATTCTAAAATGAAATATCAGTCATCTGCATTTGGCTTTGCAGATAAATTTGCAATTTGCAATTCTTTATAAAGATCAAAAACATATTTTATCTCTCATGTTAAATACTTACTTTTGTAGCAATGTTTTGGCATTCTGTGGAAACAAAAAGGAAACAATTGACTTCTTAAATGATTCAGTTTTTTTCAGAGATTTTATTCCCTGTGATCTAATTCTTACGCAAGCTACTTCTAAACTTATTAATAGAGATCTCATAATTGTCAAACATGACTTCTATGAATAAGATCATATTTCATCAGTGATTATTATATATCTGAGTAAACCTCACTCAGTAAACCTTATTTCACTGAACAGTTTTTGATTAAAGTCTGAAAATGAGGGGAAAGACAAACATTTTCTACGAAAAGGAAATGCAAACATTTTTGTCTTTTTCTGAGTTTGTAGCAAAAAGCAATTGCTCTGTTACCATCTCTGGTCACTAGTGCTATCTTTGACTATGCATAAGGGTACACTTTTGGAGCCACAAAATTTTATTTACTTAGAAAAAAATTAGTACTCTTCAAAGGCAATACACTTACAAAAGCATGTCTTTATTTTTCTGTAGAAAAGACCCTTTCAACGTTTAATACGGATGAACTATAACCCTGCAGGGCAGAAATTCTACAGTAATAAATTCAGTGAACAGGCTGCTAATGATTTTCTAATCAGCAGTTCTATGTTTTCTAGGAAGAAAATGAAAAAGTGTTGAAGTGAAGGCATAAAAATGTGACTTGGAAGATGGATATTTAATTCTTTGAAAGTTAAGCACATTTTTCAACATGCAAATGAAAACTATAACTTTCAGAAACCCATACACACATATATGACAGTGATGGGACAATAGAAACACAATTGAAAATATTAAAATTTGGACAACTAGTAAAGTACACACAAGACAGTATGCTTTGGTGCACATAGCAAATACTTACCTTACTGGTTTGGATATTATCACAAGAAGGCTAGTCATTTGTCTGTGCTGATGCAAGTGTTTAAAAATGATTTTATATAAATGGTCATTCAAAGATGACCAAACTCTGAAAGTGCCTAAAATCAAGATGTTTAAATAGTATTTAAATAAAACTGTTACTCATTTTCTCTATTTATAGACTTCATACCTGCAAAAACACAGCCATTTCTGGTTCTTCCATGAACTGGATTCCTGATTCAACTAGCTTTGACACAGCTTCCAAATGATCCGCATACTTCTTCATCAGGGAGCGGACATGTTCCAGTTTCTCCTCTTGGGTTCTAGTGATTATTTGTGTCATCTCATTTTTTCTTTCTTCCAGTACAGAATAGAGATAATCAAATTTTTCACACAGCTGCTCTTTCTGTCGTCTGCAGGATTCCTGTGAATCATTTGGTTTATATTAAACATGTTATGTTCTTAAAAGAGTTTCTATTTTTACACTTACTTGGAAGCATTTTCATCAAAGAAATTCCTCTTTCTGAGCAGTGCAAAGGATTCTGAATGACCCCAGAGACTTCTGTAATTTTCAAAGTTCAAGCTATCAGAACAAAAGTTTTAAAACTGTTTTCAAACTATTCATTCAAAACCACTGATATTCCCCCAAACAAGCTATTGTGTAACTTTTCAGTCTGTGAAAAGTATTTATGATGGCTACAGTGATACTTGGAAGACTTCAATAGTGCTATTTAAAAGTCATCAGGAAAAGTTTTTTAAAAAGTGCCATATTAGTAACTGGATTCATTGACATGAATATAATAGTCTTTAAATGAAAAAAAAATCTCAAATCAATTCTGAAGATTCTGTTTTTCTACTAAAGAATCTGAAACTATCTTGGTTAGGCCTGTTTTTTTTTTTTTTTTTAAACTTAAGTGCTCTTCCACTCTATTTTGCCAGTAAGTGTCCACTATATTAGTTTTACTATGCACTGATAGAGGTAGAGGTTCTTTGCAAAAAACGGTTCGTGCCGAAAGAATGAAGATGAGAGGATGTCAGATTCAAACCCTATTTTCTGGCTCTAATTTTCACCCCCTTTTTTGAAACACGAGTGCTGTACTTCTACTGCTTTCACTGAGTGAGGAAGATGGGTTTGATGACTGCTTCATTGAGAGCTCTCTAAGGAGAGCACGGAGCGGCTGTAAGGGAGGAAAACGGGGATGACGGCGGAGACCGGTTATCTATAATGTCTGAGGTCTTCCAAGCAGAAGCATCTGAGTCATCTGCGTGCCCCAGGGCACACGGCGGGGAAAAGGCTGCACTTCTGGGTGCTGTACTGTCCTTATTGTGGTTATCTTGCTGTGGATGAAGGTGATTATTTTAATGTCTTTCTTGGGAACCGAGGCTGAATCAATTCCTCATCTTCAGCCCTTGGGGCATAAAGCTGAGATCCTTGCAGCAGAGGATTATTAACAGTCCCGCAGTACTTTTGGAACTGTTAAAGGCTGATTATTGCTAGTGCCATTTAGCCAGAGAGAATTCCACTTTTTTCTTGCCTTTCAGCCAGAGCTCTTTCCTGAGGCTGATGACAGTCTGCTCTGTGTCATTTCAAAGGATGCCTTTGAAGATGGACATATGGCCAAGCATCACATTCAACATTCACAAAGACAAGGGGATCAAACAGAGATCCTTCTGCATCAGTTGCCTTTGCTTCCAAATGAGGAAGACAGGCACTCTTAAATTAAACAGGCACCTCTAATTTAAAACTCATGAGAGGCCAAGGCCTGGCTTCATGGCAAGTCTTGCCCTCCTGAGGTCTTCGGCACTTCCCAGAAACTGCTCTGTGTATGCCGTGGGGCTCAGGTCTACTGGTGGGAAGGAGGCAGCAACATCAACATGATGAGCAGGGAACAGTGCCACTTGACCAGCCTTTTTTATTTAGGTAGCCACTGCTGGGAAGGGGCCAAGGCTGCTGGGAGCACCCCTGCCCTGGCCTGGTCTGCAGCAAGGGAAACAGAGCCGGGCTTAGCTGTGCATATGGACAAGCTGAGTGGAGCCGTGAGAACAACGGAGACGGTACGGATACCTACGTACACCTGCCTGGTTATGAGGCAGGAATCACTGAAAAGATCCGTGTGATGCCGCTTCAGCCAAGGTCTGGCCCTGCCTGCAGAGTGGAGCAAATGCCAAGGAGGCCGTTGAGTCCGCATCCACGGAGATGCTAAAAACTGGGCTGAAATGGAGGATTAGTGTTTTATAGGATAGGAGTTAAGGAAACTTTGGAACCTGGCGAGCTGTAATTCCTGGATGTCATTCAGCTCCCCAGGCCCTTCCTCTTCTTCCAGACTCCTCTTTTTTTTTTTTTTTTTTTTTTTGATCTACCGCAACCTCTTCATATCTACAGTGACCTCCTCTGAAGGGCCATTCAGATCACTTGTAAAATAACCTTAATTTCAGGACGGATGTGTTCTATCTTTGCCATTCGATACAGGACAAGAGATGGAGAAAGAAGAGAGAAAAAGCTGGCAAAGGACCCTGAGAGTCTTTCTCTGTCTCTAGGCTCTCATACCTATTTCCTGCCAGTAGGTATTACAGAATTGTTAACTTCAAACACGAGAGTGCAAAACAGGTTCCTAAACACACATGCTTAAATATTTCTGCATAATGTGTTCCCATACATTTAGCCTTTTTAATAAAACACAGCTATAGCAAAAAGAAATGTGTTCTTGTTCTCGAATGTGATTTGTATTGCTTTTTCTGTATGGTATCTGTATTGACTGGCCTATGGCATTAACATTGAAAGTAAATACTTTAATTTTTACTTCACTATTTTATTCCTACTATTTTATTCCTGCTTTTATTACCTGGCTTAGCATTATTCAATTATTCATTACTGACTTTGAGTATTTAACATTTTATATGTTTTTTTATTTCTCTATTCCCATAATATGTGAATTTGTTCTAGGTTTCAATCAGTTATAAGCTATGCAGATATAAATCAGTTTTATTTTGTTTTACTCCTTTTTTAAAGCTTGGACAGGAGCAATAGCAAAATACAGAACTGCAGGCTCTTGCTTACTACAAGAAGAAGACAAAGAAAACTGATCCTGAATTTCAGCTATCACGAGTCTCTATTGTTCTCTGCCAAGTATTAAGCAGGGAGAAGAGACAATCTCGGATTATAAACACTGTTTCCAGGTGTGCACATTTCTCAGCTCCAGCTGTAGCTTTTCATCTTCAAGGACAAACTGATGTCAATGCAGACAAAGCCCTGGTATGGTAGGAAATGTGATTTGCTTGAAATGTAACATGGAAGCGCCAAGGTAAGTTCTATTTTTTGCAATCTCTGTCTTTAAAGGTGGAAAGCCTGTTAAAAAATTGGAAGGTAAAATGACTCTGCTTTCTTTAGGCTTGCTGTTCAAAGGTTTGACTACATGAGTAGATGAATTTGAGGCAGCTAGTTTCTGTTGTGTTTAATAAGGTATTTTTAGCACAGTGTTCTCTCCGTACTTCCAGACTAGATGTTTGAAGTTTTGTTTTTGGATCAGCTAGTTCAGCTTAAATGAGTATAAGCTTTTGCTTTTGTATCATTTAAATTTCTGCAGCCAACCTACTTGAAAGGCTTGTTTTTGTCTGCAAAGTCCAGATAGCAGCCAATTTCATCCTTGCAATGTGAAGCCTTCCTGACTACAAAGCTGTGACTTGCTRCTAACACTCTCTCTCATTTACTTGGGCTAATGGTTTTATAGTCTTTGAACCAAACTTGGACACTTTCTGTTCTTTGCTCTGAGGAAACAGGAGCCTTGGACAACTGTGTACTTAGCTTGTGGAATCAATTTTTCCTATCAATTAGAACCTATAYGTCTTGCGTTAACTTCTTTTTCACTGCAGCTTCTCTTTTCTGCTCCAACTCCGAAGGGTCAATAGAATTCTAATTGGGCTGAGAGGGATGCAATTGCTTCAGCAGATGCTTCATCAAACACTGATCGTAAAATCAATTCATATGAGCTCCTTTCAGCCTACTGCTCTGTGATCCTCAAATTGGCCTGAGCTGAAATTTTTATTTGCTTTGCTGTAGCCAACCTCTTGGAGGAAATGAAAGCCACTTCTCTGGTATTGAACGTCACAAAACTAATTCCAGCTCTGCCAGAGTAAGACCTTTACAGGAACATCCAAACTCACAATGAGAACCCAACTCTCTCTGCCTATGAGCAACACAACAAGACTCCTTAGAGGACAACATAAATATATAACAAAACCTACTTTTGTACAACTCTAGTATCTTATTTGAGAAGTTACAGGAACTGAGGACTGAAGGCATCCTGTTGTGTCTGATTTCATTGCACTTATATGCTATGCAACTGAGAATGCTGAGCAAGACATTAATAAGCAAGACAAGCTTATTATTCTTGTCTGTCCTTAATCACATGCCCCTGGAAAGTGTCARAGATAGGATGCTGAGCAGGAGATACCCTTGGGTCGAGGCACTACAGCTGACACTGTRCAAAGCCACAGGTAACTATTTAGCAAAATGATTTGGAAATCTATTTGGGCAAAATAAAGTCTGCTAAAGCATGATCATTATGGTTAATTTTAAAGATGCAATTTCACACTGAAATAATCACACTGAAAATTGTGACACTCACCTCAACTACCTTGCAGGTCTCCTCCAGCTGTGTGACTATCCCTTGCACTCGGTCGTTGCTCCCCACCAGGACCGCGATGCCGTCGCTGAGCTCAGACTAGACAGTAACAGGAGAGCAATCGGGTGGGAGGTTAAACACTTGCCTCATGCTGGCAGCAATCTCACCACCTTCTTGCTTTGCAGAGTGGCAAGTCTAACAGTGAGCTGCAGCCGAATGAGCTGCCTTAGCTGTTCTTCTCACCAGGACCCAGTACAACTGGAGCTTTACCTCCCCACAAGTTACCCTCTCCATTTGTTTCCTCCCCTGAAATATACTGAAAACACTGGCATTTTGAAACTCCCCAGGCAGAGGAAGCTGAGGTTTGGAAAGGAGGAACATTCACTCAGGAGGTATTTCAAGACTCCCAAAACACTATGTGTGGGATTGTCAAGAGAAAACATTTTGGGATTGTCAAGAGAAAACATTTTGTCTCCAGAGAGGTTGACTTTTTAGTTTCTGAATCTACCTGAGTTACGATGACCATGACCACTACAGAGCTGTTGCCGTGAGAGGCAATGGGGCTGTGAGACCTTGTGGAGAGTGATGGAGAAAATGAGAGAACGAGGTGGAGAAAGTGTGAGGGAAGCACCTTCACAGGGGTCAGACCAAACGGGAATGTGGAGGGCCTTACTGGGTGACATAAATGAAAGCTGGGGAAGAAAGGAAGAAGGAGGTGGAAATGGCAAGGCAGGTGCCTCTGCTTGGGAGGGAGAAGAGTCTCTGCTCCAAGGGGAAGTAGGGAAAGGCCTGAGTGCAGGGATGAGGATGATTATGGGACATCCTTTGGAGAAAAGGAGTGGAGAAGCCAGTCCTCAGAATTTGGTGAAGGGGCTGAGGGAGATGAAGAGCCCTTGGTAAACCCTATAGTGGCTTAGCTATAGAGGCAAGTGTTTATGACCTCCAGCTGGTGTAACACCATTAGTAAAGGATCCTTTAAAGCCCACATCTCTCAGCCTCTGGATTATTTCTCCCGCATGGCAACTTCAAATCTTTATTTGAAGTTCACTATCTGTACACTGAATTACCACCCATCTGCTCCAAGAGCGTGTGGTGGCCGGGCTGAACACCTTCCAAGCTCACAAARACCTTGCTAGGCACAGCTACTGCCAATGGTTGTGCTAGGATGCAGTTACTTGCACTTTCCCCTTTCCACAGACATGCTGGGAGGGAAACCCCTCCAGTGCTCACAAATCTCCACAGAAAGGAGTGATTGGGGCATGGATTCCATCCAAGAAACTTCTCCTCCTTCTCCTTTTTTGATTGATTCTTGTAGCTCCTTTCCTAAAGTAGCTTCTCATTTGTAGTTTGCACGCACGGAAGCAGCTGTGTGACAAAGTTGGAGGCTGGCATTGCAAAGTTGGCCTGTCTGATTGCTTGCCCCACTGGGGCCCTCCAGAAAAATGAGCTGTTTATCTCATGAGGATAACTCAGTGAGTCAGGTTTTAAATTAATACAGTATTAAAAATAAACAAGTCTTTTACTGGTGACAGCAAGGGCAGAGGATGTTAGGTACATCCTGTGCTGCCAACTATTGAATATTCCTACATTCACTTGCAAGGAAGGTTTTTCACTTCCCATTTCTTAAAAAAAGAGGATGCTTATAGCAGAAAGAACCTACTATTCTATTATTTGATTTGTAAGATTTGTAACGGGCTTTTCTCTTCCCATCACATACGCTGAAAATCTTGCTTTTATTTTTTTCTGATCTAAAAGCACTAAGAAAAAAGAAATTAGGAACTTCAGAAGGAAGATCCTCATCTTCACATCACACTTCTGTCTAAAATGTTTACTCATTATGCTAATGACAAATCGGGACACTGTAATACCTTTTCTCTTAAAATGTTTCACCATGTTTCCAAATAGAGAGCTTCTATATGCTTCTGAACCTTGCTCTCACAGACAGGAATGGAAAAGACTCTTCTTCCCCCTAGGTCCTTCTGGAAAGTCCCAGGAAGCTTATGGGAATACCTTCCTATGAATGGTCCTATGAATCACTGGGAAGATTACGAGATACGAAAAGGTTATTTACCTTCTGTCTCTGGTAAACATTTGTGAGAGGAGCAACTTGACAGTCTTTATGGGCACCAAAGACTTTGCACAAGGAGCAGGTGGGCATTTCACAGTTCAAACAATAGATATTAATTCTCTCATCTTCGTGCTCTTCACACATTGGTTGGTCACACTTCTTTTCAGGTCTGCAAAAGAAAATAAATAAATAAAGCCTTGATCCTCATCACAAGTTTATGGTGATAAAGCTTAGGGTGTCATCATGAATTAGAGTAGGGTTCATGTAGATTTATATATAGAGAGAGGTCTACATGATTTATATGTTACATATGATAGATATAGCAGTGTCCCAAACTGAACTGAAGACTCTGTAGACTTAAAACTGTTAAATAGGGTGACAAAATAGACAGAGGTATGGTTAAATATTATGGCACAGTAGGATATGGTGACAATATGTGGTGATGTTGTCTATCTTGACTTTCGACACTCTGTTAGTAACCTCCTAAGATGGTCTCCTTGGTCTACCTGTGTACTTTAAGTTACCATGTTGTCTAACTTCTGAATGAGGAAACATATTTATTGCTTTAGGTGTAATCATGCAATTCTTTAGTACTTGGCCAGGTCCAACAGAGCTCTTATGTGGAAGTCTAACTGGAAATGAGAGCGTGGACCTTCATGTGCTTAACTACCCGCTCTGCTAATGTACTTTGCATGTTTCAGTCAGGGCTGGCTGTAACAAAAATGATTGAGACCTTATGGACAGGTAAGGTCTCATACTTTTTTGCTGTAGCTAACRCAGCCATCATGTATATGTGTTGCACAGGAGTGGTTCCTTGCCTGTGCTGAGCCAGGAGCCCTACTGCTAGACTACAACTCAGTTCTGATCTTCCTTTTACCAAAACAATTTAGCCATACACATGCAAACCAGTTTTTGCTATCTTAGGAGCATATTCAACTGGAACCTGCTTTAAACAGGTCACTTAACTAGCATGCTCAGCCTAAGAGAACGCTTTGGTGCAGGCTGCACAGCAGRCTGATGCTCCTCTGAGCCTGAGCTCCAGCCTCAGCACCCTGAGCACGTGCATGGCAAGAATGATGTGGGTGCAGGGTTAGGAAAGAATTCAGATCTCCAGAGTGGAAGCCACCAAAGCTGTCCACCAGTGCTACTATGGCAATGCTACATCTTCCCAACATAGCATGTCATACCCTTTGACTACCATTCAGAAGAAGAACTATCATTTGCCTACAGGAAGAGGTGCAATGGCATCATAGAAATACATCTTTCCATCATTAAATAGAAAACATTTTTCCAAACTATAAAATTAGAAGAAATTAAACAGAAGTAATTCCTATGCTCTTTAAGCCATCTTACAGAATCCTGTAGGAAGGAGGCAATCAATCATCCCATCATAAGTTTAAAAAACATATGGAAGGCCAGTATTTTATATAGTGTAACACTCCATATAGTTTAGTAGAGTTGAGATAGCAGTCAACACCTTTTAATAACAGAGYAGACAGAGCAGAGGTTTTCTCTTCTGATCTTAAAATGGAATGTGATCAATTAAATKAATATAAAAAAGATCAATCAACAATCAATCAAATGAGTATGAAGGAAGATCAAACAATAAAGAATGTATCATTCATATTTTTCAATTTAAAGAGAATGCTGAGATTAAAGGGATTTTTAAGGAAAATATGTGATGTTCAATAGACCATACAATACACTATAATAAAACAAGTTGGGCATTTCTGAAGGAAGCCTGTATTATTTGGGCTAGATTTCCAGCAAACACGTACATAATGCACTCAGTGCTTTGAAACCAGTATCATATTAATGTTAGTCAGAACAGGTGTGTCTTCACRGTAAAGAATTCTTTACATTGTTTGCCCCCAAACATTTCCATATTATAGAGCACCAGTGGGAGGACCTGCATGCTGGGGCAGTAACAGACAATGAACTTGAAAATGATTGATTATGCCTGAAATAGCTACACTTCCTGAAAATATTTACAAGCTGAGAAACTACAAGCATGTTATTTGTCACTGGAACCATGCCACCAGCATGAAAGACAGCACGGGGCAAAAAGGCAATGGTGTCAAGTTAAGTTCAGCAGAAGTAGCCAACCTTCAAAGGTACCTCGAAGAGCTGGAAGAAACCTGGCAGAACTCCCTGAACCGTTGCGCTGCCCAAGGCAGTGACAGAAGGTTTTACATCCCGTCACAAATAAACAGGTTTCCTTCCTAGRCTTTGCAAGAGGAGAGATTTTTAGCAGGAAACCCTGGGCCACAGGCTGTTAAAATGGTGCAAATTTGCAGAAGGGGTCCCGAGGAGGCGCATTCCGAGAAGACCCTCTAGCTTTACATGGTCAAAATACTACACTACTCCTAAAATGACAGGTTGCAGAGTAGGAAAATGACTGCATGGCTGTAGAAGAAAAGGTTCATCACAGGTGTATCTGTGACCAAGCAAGTTGCAGGTAGCTTAAATGAGCTGAGAGCTTTGAGCTCTTCTTCCCTGACCTTCAAGGAGGTTTCTCACAGTTGCACGATAAGGTGCTAGGGTTGTAGCTTGAAACTGCAGATACTACTGCTTAACACACTAAGGGTGCATTTTACTGCTACAGTCTCGTTTTGTGTGAGAATAGGATTTGGACCTCAACGTGCAGAGTTTTGTGCATGATCTGTGAAGAGGAGGAAAAGCAAAGCTGCTGTGCATRAAGATGCACACTTTAATAAGGGTATAGTAAGAGTTAATATAATTACAGCTAAACATGAATTTATGTAGATTTATATCAAATGAAGATTAGGACCTCGTTACTCGTTATCATTACTCTCTCATATAAGAGCTAATTCTTTTGAAATGATAAGGAATTGCTATCTTTATACAGCATGTGACTGTGTATGTTAACATATTTGGCCAGGTCTGCCCTAAACTGTACCAACATACAAGTATTCCCCACACATTGCTTACATCCCTTAGCTACATGAGTAACATTTGCAGGAATGTGTTTTATGATACAAAATGAACAGATGAATTCATTAATCAAGAGGCTTTTTGGAAAAAAAAATATAAAAAGTATAAGGTCTCTCCTGAAACCAACATTGCAAATGGTCTTAATGAGGATCCTGAGAGAACTGTGGCCCTTCCTGTACCGTCCCATCATGTAACTCTTGCTCCTCACTGGGAGATGGAGTGTGGCTCTCGGGGAGGCAAAAAGCAAAAAAAAAAAAAAACTTATGAAAACATGTTTAGATCAAATTTCTTGTAAGATTTATTATCTGTCACTGCTCAGTTGAAGAGACTATTTTTGATAGCGCGGTCATACGGGATTTTAGGACACTTCCTGTTACATTTTCATATATAAATGGAAGGAAAAAATAGCAAACTTTGAGCTGCTTCTGTTCCCAGTAGGTTTTTAGGCTTTGAGTTAAACTTACTGAGCTGGGCATGACAACCAAGATTTCCTCTCAATCTTCATCAGAGGAGTTATCTGTGCTCAGAGAAACCTCAGTGGGGCACAGCACTCTTTCAAGCAGTGCAACTCTGAGATGTTGAAGGAAAGGGTAAAATAAAGCAGGCAYGTACAGACTGTTCCTTCCTCAGGATCACAGGATCACTGAGGTTGGCAGGGACCACTGGAGACCAACTAGTCCAAGCAACYGCTCACAGCATGGTCAGCCGGAGCAGGTTGCCCAAGAGTGTATCCAGCTGGGTTTTGAATACGTCCAAGGTTGGTGACTCCACAGCTTTTCTGGGCAACCTGTTCCAGGGGTTACTACCCTCACAGTAAAAGGTCTCTTATCTTTAAKTGGAATTTCTGTTTTTCAATCTATGTCTGTTACTTATTTTCCTTTCTCTGGGTGCATTAAGAAGAGCGTCTCCAGCAAGTTGAGGGAGGTGATTGCCCCCCTCTACACAGCCCTGGTAAGGCCAAATCTGGAGTACTGTGTCCAGTTCTGGGCTCCCCAGTACAAGAGGCATGTGGAGCTGCTGGAGAGAGTCCACTGCAGGGCTACGAGGATGATCAGGGGCCTGGAACATCTGCCCTATGAGCAAAGGCTGAGRGAGCTGGGCCTGTTCAGCCTGGAGATGAGAAGGCTGAGGGGGGACCTGATCAGCGTGTATAAATACCTCAAGGGAGGCAGTGAGGAAGAGGGGGCGGCCTCTTTTCAGTGGTGGCCCCCAACAGGACTAGAGGAAACGGCCACACACCAAGGCACCAAAGTTCCACAGGAACTTAAGAAAACATTTCTTAACAGTGAGGGTGCCAGAGCCCTGGCACAGGCTGCCCAGAGAGGTTGTGGAGTCTCCTTCTTAGGAGATCTTCCAAACYCGCTTGGATGCAGCCCTGTGCCCCGTGCTCTAGGTGACYCTGCRTGTGTAGGGGGGTTGGACTAGAASACCTCTGGGGGTCCCTTCCAACCTTAAGCATTCTWTGATTCTATGACCATGGTGTAGGGCCTGGCTCTGTCTTCTTTACTCCTTTGCATCTCACTAKGTATTTTTAAGATTCACTTGAGATTCATTTATAAGATTCATTTTCTTCTCCAGGATAAAGAGTCCCAGCTCTCTCTCAGCGTCTTGGTGTAGAAGACATGCTCCAGTCCCTTAATTATCTTCATGGCCCTTTGCTGGACTTACTCCAGTAGCTCCATCCCTCTCTTGTACTGGGGAGCCCAGAACTCAGCACTCCAGATGTGGCCTCTCCAGTGCTGAGCACAGGATTGCATCTTTCACTCTGCTACCAACACTGTTCATAATGTGGCCCAGGAGGCTCTTGGTTGTCTTTGTCATACGAGTGCATTACTGTCATACGAGTGCATACGAGTGCTTATAGTCACTTTATGGTGCACCAGGAASCACAGGTCTTCTCTTGCCAAGCTGCTTTCCAGCTAGTTGCTCTCCAGCCGCACTGCTGTGTGGGGTTACTCCCCACAAGGATCAGGACTTGGTGTCACCTTCTGTTGAACTTCATGAGGTTCCTGTTAGCAGATTTCTCCAGCCTCTCAACATTTCTCTGAATGGCAGCACAACCATCTAGTGMATCAGCCTCTTCTCCCAGTTTTGTATCATCTACAAACTTGCTGATGCCTTTGTGCCATTATCCAGGTCATTAATGTTAAATGACTTCAGTATTGCCCRCTGGGGTGTACCACTAGTGACTGGCCTCCAAATGGATTTGGGGCTGCTCATCACTTTCCCTTCAGGCTGACAATGAACCCAATTCTTAGTCTACCTCATGAGGCATCTAATCTAGTTCACATTTCATAAGCCTGTCAACRGGAATGTTATGGATGACAGTGTCAAAAGTCTTGTTAAATATCCACTGCTCTCCCCTCACCTATCAAGTTAGTCATCTCATTGTAAAAGACTATGAGGTTGGTCAAACATGATTTCCTCTTCATAAATTCATCTTGACCTTCTTGTCCTTTTTGTGTTGACTTCCAGGCTTCCAGACTGATTTGCTCTATCACCTTCCCAGAAAATGAGGTGAGATTGGATTGGACTGTAGTTTCCTACATTCTCCTTCCTGCCCTTTTTGAAGAAGGGATAACAATTGCTTTCTTCCTGTCCTCTTGTTCCTCTCCCAGTCCCCATGACCTTTCAAAGAYAACAATGGCCTTGCAATGACACCAGACAGCTAGCAGCGTTCCTAGGTGCATCCCATCAGGGACCACGGACTTGTTTACATTCACTTTTTTTAAATGTTTTCTCTAAATGTTCCCTAATCTGACCTCTTCCATCAAGGGCACTCTTCCATGTTCCAAATGTTGCCTTCGGTCTCAGAGATCCGGGATTCCTGAGGGCTTCCTTTATCTTACCAGCAAAAAAACAACAGAAAGGCATAGGTTATCTCTGCTTTTTCTGTGTTTTTTTGTCATGAGGGCCCCTGCACCGTTCAGCACTGGGGCTTCCCTTCCCTTCCTTTTTCCTGCTGACATGCTTGTAGAAGCCTTTCTTACTGCCCTTTGCATCCCCTACCAGATTCAACTAAGTGGACTACAGCTTTCCTATTCCTATCTCTGCACACTCAGACTGTGCATTCCTCCTGTGTCACCCCTCTCTCCTTCCATCTCTTCTATGCTTCCTTTTTACATTTGAGTTTTTTCACAAGCTCCTTGTTCATCCTCACAAGCCTCTTGCCACCTTTGATCTATCCTCATGTTTAGRCCACAAGGCCACATAGTCACATCTGACTTTGTCTCCCTTGACATCTGACCCATGTCTCCCTTGGACATTTTCTTGGTGCCCACATGGAAGAGCAGCAGGAGGCAACAGCCCAAGGGACAGGCGAACCTTAGCAACCTCTCCATWATATCCTGGATCCAAGCCCTCAGCAAACCTCCCTAGGCAGCAGCTTGGGTTGGCAGAGGGACCTCCATCCCTAGGGAGTCTCCTGCTGCTRTGTCCTTCCTGGTGCTGTTGTGGGTGTTGGGYTCAGCTGGTTCCAGTGCTTCATACRGAGSTGGGRCAGCGCTTCCAGTCCCATCTGCAGCCAGGGCAGTCACCCYACTCTGCTGTCACTGCTCTGCCGGCAGAGCAGGATTTCACCTGCCAGAAGCCACCAGACTGCAGCCTTCACCACCATGGGAGTTTCCAAGTAAGCTGGGAGACTCATCCACAAGACTCAGTCTGCCCCTCCATCAGTGCCATTGAGAGTTTGGGCTCTTGTCACTGCAGGACTCAGAGAAGATCTGGTTGATGTCTCTTGTCATCTCTGATGCAGGGCAGTGATACAACGTCATGACCACCTCCTGCAGCATCTTTGCGTGACACAGACCCTCCCCCAGCACTCACCTGCTGCAGGTGAGGAGCCCATCTCCCCTGCCCCAGCCAAGTGCCCAGGGCTCTCCCTGCAGCCTTGGTCTCTTGGAGTGGTCTGAGACATCAGCAGTGCCAGGACAGCTGACCCATCACATAATGCTCTGCACTGTCCCCTCTGCAGAGCCTGCGCAGCTTCCAATCACTTCTGCTGCACTTCTGCTGCACAAAGTCCTGTGTCTGTTCCCTGTGCTCTAGGCAGCACTTCCACAGGCCTCTCCCGAGGCAGATAGGGTGCTGACCCTCCCTAATTAGGAGTCAGCTTGGAACAAAAGCTCAAAGTACCCTTTGATCTGGAATAGCTCACAGAGCTCATTAGACGCTGCTAGAGCTTGCTGGAAGTTGCGGCCTCCTGCAGTTTTCCCTTCCCAGCAGCAGCAGGCACCTTAAAGTTCCTCAAAAAGTTCAGGTAATCAGTGCCCTAGACATTCTCAAACTTTGGTTTAATATTTTATTCAACCCCATTTTTACTGGGTTCAATGCTTTCCCTCCTTTAAAGCTTTGTAGCAGCCATGTCCTGCTTGAATATTTCTTTCCTTGCGTTGTTCATAGATTCTAAATTGGGCAGCAAGCTAAGTTGTCATCGGCTGGAAATGATGAGCAATGTGAAAAAGACCATATGATGCAGTTGTTAGTAATAACAGGGGCTGTATGTGAGAGCTAGGGCAGAGCCTCCCAATCTGATCACACAAGTCCTGCCCCAATTTTTATTTTTGAAAGAACAATGCCTTAATTCGAATTGAAAACTAAAAAAAAATCAAAAAAATGTTTTCAAAATAAGTGATTTTTTCCTACACGGGAAACAAAGCCTGCACCATATATGAGTTAATCTTATTCTCATAAGTTCACGTGAAAAGCAGCTAAGAGCTGGCATGGTCCGGACATGGACATTTATGGTGAATTCTATCTACAGGAACACTAGAGGGAAAAGAGGGCCCTGTCAGAAAGTCACTGGACCTGCTACTTTGGAGGGTCATCTTGGAAATGAAGAAGGATGCAAAAGGTATATCTCACTCTTCTGCTAAAACCTTACCCTCACTTTGAAAGAAGATGGTACAAAAGAAGCAGAGCAGACTTGATTTCTCTTGGCTTTTGGGTTTCAGTGGAGCAGCGCAGGACAAAGCAATGGCAGATGTTGCTCACACGCTCACGGGTGCCTGAGGAATGCCAGGCAGAAGGAGATAAGCAGCTGGGGCCTCAGAGTGGCAAATAGTTCAGATAACGCTGTTATCATCGCTGCTGCTAAGTAACCCTGATAATTAATGTAAAAAAAGCACTGTAGTGGATTAAGCAAACCTTTTGGACATATATCTAAGAAATACATGCTCATATATATATTTTTTTCTACTCCCTCCTTTTATTCATCATATTACATTTTACTTTAGTGGAGCTTAAAAAGAAAACCTACCAGATGTTTTATATCTTCATGTAACTGAGCTTTCTGCCAATTGTCCATAAACTAACTGGAAGATATAAGCGAGCCATATCTGCATTTTTTTTAAGATAAAGACAATTCTCAGTTGAAAATAAAAATCAAGAAAGACATGAAGACACACTCGTCCAGCTTGTTTTGTCAAAAGCAAAATCCAGCTTTGTCAATTCACTTCCTCAGGGATTTTCCAGACTAAAATAATATTTGGCTATCAGTGACACAGGGGTAGCTGACCTTCCCTTGGCACAGAGTGCTAAGGGCAGCAGAAAGGACATTTTTAAGCCGGCTTCGTGCTCTCCGGYGTTTTGGAGCTCCAAGCTGTGTCCAGCTACAGCAGAGCCCAAYGGGATACAAACACCCAAGAATAGCCAGAGGCACAGGTGGTGTCCAAAACACTCTGTGTGCAGGTGGCCTCCTGTGGGAAAGGGGGAGGACACCCCAAGCCACCTGATGTCCTTGCACWGGATACCGGGATCAGCCGGCTGTGTCCAGCTGCTCCAGTGAGCCTGTTGCCACCATTATCTAGCAATACCTGTGATATCCAGCCCCTTACTGGGGAGCGGGGAGGCTGTAAGGGAGCGTGGTCGGGATTTGGTCTTCCTTCAGGCGGGGCACGACCTACAAAACCCCTTGCARTTCACCAGCACATCAACGATGAGAGGCTCTTGCCCTTGCCTGAGGAGTTGCTTGCTTGGCGGCCTGGGACCATTAGTTTCAGCCTTAGTGTGCTCCCCCCATCCTCAGCATGTGTCCGACCCCATCCCACAGCAAGAGAGACAAAGASCTAACGTTGTTCCACTGCTGGATGGGTTGCAAATCCGTTTCTAGACCCTGATGTTCAGAAACAATCTTACTTTATAGGATGAACCTACTACTCTGCACTGTGACTCTCGTACACCACCACACAGCACCAATATATGATTATTCCTGGCTATTACTTCTCTTATAAATAAGGTTTTAAATAAGACTTAATATCATGAGGTCACATCCCAGTCTGATAGGATTGGAGACTTTGAGCTAAATTATGATTTGCTATTATGATGCAGGGTATCTCCTGCGCCTACTTCAGCTATCTTATAATTTGCTCTACCTATTCCTTGGGATTTTCTGACAAGATTTGAAACCTTTTCTCCCTCCATAAAATGAGAACAAGCACATTAAATACAGATGCATCCATCTGAACAGTTCATGAAACAAATGATGTGAACCCAGCTAGTTTTTCCTAAGTTATGCAAATAAACTATACTGACTTGAAGGCTTTGCTTGCATGTGTAAGTACAGCTCATGTAGGTTAGGATGACACAATCCTTTTCTATAAGTGGAAATGGGAAAATTCAACATCTATTTGGGAGTCTATGAACTTTCTGTGTGCAGTAAGAGAAAGCTGACTTCATTGCACAGCAAACCGATAGGCATGTGTAGCAGCAGAATCCATTGCCTTATTTGCCAAGAGATAAAGTAACTACAGAAACCTCACATCTGATGATGGAAAGACCATGAAGACACCACAGTGTCCTAAACTGTGTCTGTTTCTGTGGCATGATGTCTTTTAGGGGTACAAATTTCCTGGTTACCTTGTGGACTCCTGCTTGTATATGTCGATGATGTTTTCCACAAGGAGGTTCCTCTGCAGCCCGTAGACGCCGTGCCGGTCGAGGACCACCTCGTGTCTGCAGGAAGGGCAGCGGAAGCGACCCCCCGACGCCACCGTGGTGCCGCCCCTCGTTGGCAGGTAGGGGTTCGAGGCCTGTTCTTGCCAAGCAGGACAAGGGGATGCCAGTTAAGGACATGCAAAACTTCACCAAGATGCTTTGACTACAGCGCTCGTACTTGGAGCATGGGGCRATCTCCGCAGAGGCCAGCTCATGTTGGACCAATGCAACCAGTGCACGTCTCTCTCCCTCCCCACTTTTCCCCCCAGCACCAAGATCAAGCAGCTCAAAGCCACWTGGGGACCTTGAGGATGTTTCGTAAGGGCAGCTTCTGCTTTAGCCCACTGGCCCCAGCCTTACCAGGAGGAACAGAATCAAATCAAGCACAGGAGAAATTGTGCCCTTCCATCCATTTAAACAAGGGCTGCTGGTACCTACAAGAGTAACTTTTGCTGGAATGAACCTACCTGGAAAATGTCGCTGGCACATTTTCTGCACAGGTTGTGCTGGCAGGGCAGGATGACAACGGGCTTTGTGAATATCTCCAAGCAGATCGGGCAAATCAGCTGCTTCTCCAGGTTATCCATGGTTTGCTGCTCTTTGGAAAAGGACTTGTAGCTCAGGGAGGTGCTCATGCCTAGCTTCTCCAGGGGCATACGCTCCGGACCGCGGCGCCGCCGGTGCCTTCCCGGGTTAATTTCCCTTGAAAGAGATCCAAGGCTCTGGGGTGGGCTCAGCGGCTCTGCGCGCTGCGCTCGCTGGGGGACATGGCTCGAGCGAGGGGCTGCCGGCGGCCGGGGCTGTTTTTAGCGCCCCGACGTCACGCCGTGCCGCTCYGCCGTGCCCATATAAGCGAGCGCGGCGCGGACGGACTCGGACAGGTGACGGGYGGCAGGGCCGCGCGAGGCGCATTCCAGCGGCGCGCGGGGCGGCCCGCGCCGGCTCTGCTCAGCGACGGCCGCGACCCCCTCGGGGCGCGCGGGCGATAGCGAGCGCCCGCGGCTCCCCGCTTATCTGCGCCCGCCGCAGGAGCCGCGYGGCGGGAGGCGGAAAGCGCCGCCGGGGCCCTGCTGCCCTCAGCTCTTGGCTGAGCTGCCGTTTTGCGGCTCCAAATCCCTGGGGATTTTGGCGGGTGTTTCAGGGTGCGCCAAGAGCGGGAGCGGCCCAGGTGTGAAGCACATGTCGCTGCCGGAGAAGGCGGCAGCAGCGGCGGCCGCTCCTGCGCCCRCACAGCTCAGGGCTCGCGCTTGTCACCGCCTCGGAAACCAGCTACAACGCTGCCCTGCAGCTGCACTTACCTTCTTCTGGGGGGATATTTCTTTTTTTTTKGAGCTGTAAAGCAAGAGTCTCGCATGACTATTCAGTCCAGCTCCAATACGCACCCCAAAAACTATGACACAAATTTCCTGATTAGAGGGAGACAGAAGAAACACAGTATGAAAAGCTTTAATTTGCACTACTAGAGAATAGGTACTAATTGTGCACGCTCTTCCTAGCCATAGTTTAATTCAAATACACTTTAGTCTTGGGCGCCGCTGTGTTTATATCTGTTTATTAGACACTGATATGCCTCTCAGCTTGGCACTTGTTCTGGAGTTATTTTTAAAATGACAATTTCCCAGATAATTTGTGGCATGTGATGCCTGATCTTAAGGGAAAGCCATCTGTGCTTCTACTTGCCAATAATTTATCACACAACTGTACAAGCAATAAATATCTCACYCTCAGATTCAAGCCAAAGCCCCCACATGTACTGTATAAAATCACTTTGCTGCTATACTGTACTGCCTGTAGTCAATATGTTATCTTCTGTTTTAATCAACAACTGTAATATTTTCTCTGTTAAGTGTCTTGTGGAAAGCTTTCACATTTTTGCTAATTGCTGCTATAAAGCGCGTGCATATGAACAGCCGTGCTCTGCAGCGGCTGCTGGGCTGATTCACCGGTGCCCGCTGCTGCGGAGGGAGAAACCCCGTTTCCAAAGCAGGGCCCTTTGCTCGTGTGCAACAGCAGGCTGGAAAACGTACTTCAGGGGAATGAAAAAGGCAAAAGTTTTCACTGATTTCCACATGAAAACGAATAACACTCCCTGCACGCAATGGCAAAGAATCACATTGAATTCAGTGCCTTCCAACTTTTGATTTGCAACGCACTGCACGCTTCTTTATTAGTGTTTGGCTGAAATTCTCCCCCCATTTGCGGCCCACTGAGCCAGAATTTGAGCCCTACACATTCATCAGGAGCCACACAACGACACGTGCATGTTTTTCCCCCACAAAGTCCTGCTTTCCTAGGGAAGCCTGCAGCGGTGGGGCTGAACCGGCTGCCGCGGCGCGGCCCTGCCAAGCGGCACGGGAAGGGCTGCGCGGGCAGCTGGGGCTCTTGGCAGCCCAGGGTGGGAAACTTTCTTGGCAGCAGCGGGCAGATACTTCTCCTCTTTCCCTCCCCTCCGTGGCCAGGTCAGGGGTGGCTTCAGTGCCTAGAGCAGTGGGAATGCCTCATGCCTGCCCTCTTCACTCCGCATCAGCTGGCCCTTCCGTGCCAACACGGCTGTAACGTGATGTAGAGGAGGCCGGGCCTTCCTCCGGCACCGTGCCTGGCGCTTCCTCGTGGCCGCGGGGCTCTGAGATTCGGGCTAAAAGCTGCACGTTGGGAACGTCACTGTGTAAAAGGACCTGCGTGCGGCGCGGGGGACGCGAGTCCGAGGGCAAAGCCAAAGGGACAGCGCTCGCGTGCGGGTGTCGCGCAGCGGGCGAAGGCCCCTCCAAAGGGGTCATCCCCCAGCGCTGCCTCTGCTCCCCGGGCAGGAACCCTGGATCTCAGCTGTCCCCGAGAACCTTACAGGAGTTTTTAACTCTATTTTATGCTGGAATAGTTTGCCCGGGAATGCTATCTGTTTTTGCTGAGCCAATCATACGGCTAGTTCATTTAGATGGGCTTGTTTTTACGGGCAGAGATTTTAACCCCTCTATTTTTGCAACGGAGAGCAACTTGAGGGCTGTGGAATGAGGGCTTGGGGAGCCTCGAAAGCTGTCTGCAAGGTGCTGGATTTAGGAGAGGGATTTGAAGGAGGAAGGAGAGGTTGAGGGAGGCCTGGAGTCCAATTTCAGTGCTGCTGTGGCACCCTGGGGTTTTGCATTCAGAGAATTCCTCTCCACAACCCCTTATCTTGAACTATTGCTATAAAGCTCTCAGGTGTCAGCCATAAAAAATATCTTCCATTATGGCAAAACAAAAGGAAAACGGTGCCTTTAGAGCACTACGGCCGGTGCGTCAYGGAAATACTTTTGCAGTGACTTATGAAGCAACGAGCCGAAAGTAAGTTAAAGTCCTTMTGCTTATACAGGTGCAAAGTGCAAACAGCATTTTGCATTTCATGATTTTATTGCAATCAATGAACATCCCTTGATAAATACTGAAATTACCCTACAAGTCAATTTACGCAACCTTTTGAGATTGTTGTTTTTACACTCAACCTACATATTAGTGTTTGCATACCCTATAGTCAGTGCTAGGAAGCATGCAGTCAGTGTTTGGAGATCAGAACAACATGACAGGCTGGTTCTGTAGGCAGACAGGGACCTGGGCAGGGGGTACTGGCACTGCCTGAAATTTGCTTTTGCATATATAAAAACTAACCAGGAGGGACAGACCCAAAGCATTTCTAAGGATGAATCACTGGAAGCACATGAAATATGCTGGAGCACGGGATTTTGGGAGGACAGACAGAGAGCACAGGAACTGTGCTATAGATAAGGATTAGAAATAGCAGCCAGGACCTCTCTCTTAGGGATGCAGAGGAAACCTGAGCTGTGATTAAGCTTAGACGTTTATCACCTTTACTGCAATTATCTGTAGTCTCAAAATCTGTGAGCTTGAAAACACAGGGTGAACACACATGACATTCCTAGTTTGGCTTCTCGCTGAGCCATACGTAGCTGTACAGGCCCAAGGTTTGCTTTCAGGATTCCCAAACCCACATCCCCTTTTTGCATATGCTCATCCCTCACCAGCTTACTGCTAGAGAGAGACCTGAAGCTCACAGGCAAAGCATGAAAGTGAATCCAAACCATAGCACGGGCCTTGGACAACACAGCCTTGACCTTTTTCCCTTGATTTTGCTTGTTAGAGCAGCACGGCACTGGGGGCCAGCTTGAAAACTGTCACTATTTGCCCTGTTACCTGAGACGAAGGAATGACTGGCTCCACCCTGAGCTGTTCCTGCATTTTACTGCAGAACTTTGGGATATTTTATGAAATGGGAATTTTTGGATTTTTGGGAATTCTGGGAATATTCTGTGGAGTGGGTATTTGGTGCTGGGTTAACAAAGGATGAGCTGATGTTGTGACAGCGGGGCTGGACACAGGCAGCAAGAGGTGGAAGTGGTAGGGAGGCTTTTCAAGCATGCAGGAGATTAGGAAAAGCAGATTGCAGAGAGCTTTAGCAGTGGTAAGGAAACAGGTCACATTTCTGCTCTGCCCTTAAAAATTCATAGGGCTTCACTTCAAACCTTCCCCGCTCCAAACGCTCAGCTTTGTTGTTAGGAAATGAGAGTGCTGCTCTGGAGGGATGACTGTTTTGCAGCACAAGTCCCGCTCAGGCTCCCCAGCTGGTGTCAGCTCATCACTTCGCAGAGCTAGAGCCCTACCCCAGTGTCACGTTTCTCCATGGCCTTGGTCATATCAACATCAGCCACTCTTGATGCTATTTCCGTACGTTCCCTGCGAGCCCAGCTGGCAGAGTGGGGGAGCACGGGTAATTTTCTGTCCAGGATAATGCTTTAGTCTGTGGTTCAGAGCCAGATAAAGCCTTTGCTTTAAGGTCATGATCAAGGTATGGCTTTGCACCATGTCAGAGACCTGCTGAGATACTGTCCCAGGCTGCTGGACGGGGCAAGCGTGTATTGTTACCTCTCCTTGTCTTGAGGTCATTCCTCCAGGACAGAGTAGAGATTTAGTGCTGGAAGATGAAGGATTGAGCATTGTGCTGTCCCCGTTAAACAAAGTGTGGTGCCAGGGAAGCCTTTACACAGCAAGGAACTAGGGGACCTGATAGAGACCTGCTCAGCGTGTAGTGCTAAGTGGTGGTAGGGGTGATACCTTCTGTCTTTTAGCTTTTTTCCTGTTGTAGTTCCAACTTCTTTMTTCTTTCTTACATATCTTCCAATGCTCTGAAAATATTCTTTGAATATTTAGCAAAATACTCTTTGAGTGTATAGCAAACTCAGCAAGGCTATTCATTTCTGAAGCACCAATGCCTTTCTTTTTATTTTAGAAGGGCAAGTTCCCCTTTCAGACAGACACTGGCCAAGCTCTTCCCTCTCTCCCTGTGTCTCCCTGCAACGCATGAGATGGTGGGTCAAGACGTTTGTAGAGACAACAGCAATGGGAGGAGATGTACTCAAGCCAGGCAGGAACTGAACACTCACCTTGTAAAGCCATGCTCGGCAGCGCCGTCCGCTGTGACATTGCACCCATTGTATCAACAGCAGTATATTATATTAACGTCCTTTTGAATTATCACTTCAGGAATCATCCCAACCATGCAGGCTGGTGTCCACATGCAGAGCGTTGCCCCCCTCTGCTACCACGCGCAGCTCCTTCTGGGGAGTCAGCGTTTTTGCTTCTGGATGAGCTCAGCAAATACAAAGAAAAGAAAGGGCAGACACTACGTCTTGTGGCCATGGAGGAAATTCGATTGCTGGTGCCTCTTCGAAGGCTTTGCCCTTGCCACCGAAGGGAGGGCTTTGC